GGCGCCCCTGCCACCCGGCCGCCCCCTTGTCTGCGCCGGGGCGAGGGGCTGCGGTGCTGGTGGGTGGCCCCGAGGGCACCACGGGAACCCCGATCCCTGTTGGGTGCTGCCATCACCCTCCGGCGCAGGTAGGAAGCGGTGCAAAGCTGGTCGCCAGGGCTGGCTGGGAATGCGGGAGTGGTGGTACCTGCGCCAGAGCCGCACCATGTCCCAGAGCCTACAGCCATGGGTACACGTCCCCCTGTGAGGGGGGTGGAGATGCTGTCCCATGCGTGCAGGGGGTTGGGAGACTTGCTGCTCTGCTGGGTGCTGCATCCTGCAGCGTGGGCTCTGCTTGGGTCACGGCAGAGATGGCCATGGGGTCCTCCATCCACAGGGTGCCGGGACAGTGGGCATGGGTGCTGCTTCCTGGAGCTGGTGGTGCCCCAGCTCTTGCGCTATGGCATTGGTGGCAGCACCTGCCCATGGGCTCACACTGGCCCTCTTTCTCCTCCATCAGCCGCAGGGACCTGGACATCAACCGGCCTGGGACTGTGCCCAATGCCAAGACGCTGCGGTAAGAGTTGCACTGGCGTGGTGTGTGGGGTCCCGGGGTGGTGGAGTCCACCCAGGCCAAGCCCTGACTGTGCCCCTTCCTCCTCTTGCTTCCAGCTGCCCTGTGATGCTGGTGATCGGAGACACCGCGCCTGCTGAAGAGGGGGTGGTGAGCGATGGGGTAGTGCCTGTGGGCTGGCACGCAGACGGTGCCCGCACGTGAGCGTGCTCGTGTTTGCTGCCCGTTCAGACACGCGTGCGCTCCCCCGTGCAGCAGCGTGCTCATGTGCAAACTCACCTGCTTGTGTGGGCGCATGCGCATGTGCATGGTTGCCACATCTGGAAAACTTCCCCTTCCTCGTATGCCCAGAAGTGGTCACAGCGTGCACGCTGGGATGTGTCAGCACACAGGCACGCTCCCTGCTCGCTGACATGGCCACACTGGCACAGTCAGCCCCAAGTACTGTGCAGGTGGCCACATTTGTACACGATGTGTAACTGCGTGCACCCCCCTCCTCCTCCAGCACGTGTATCTCTATGCACATGCGCATAAGCACACTTGTGTGCTCGTACATGTGTGACACACGGGATGCCTCGTTGGCCCCCCTCCCCACCCTTTCCAGCCCCTACCCTTGCCCAGAGGCAGCCTGGCAGGAGGTGGTTCCCCTCTGTCCTGTGGCAAGGGATGGTGGTTCTGCAGGCTCTGGGCTCGCCTAGCGCCCTGTCTCTGCCTGGCTGGGGTGGGATGTGCTGGCTGGGGTGCTGTGGGCCAGCGGCGGTCCCTGTGGGCAGCATCTGCCAGGCTGAGGGCACCCCAGGGCACTCATACCATCCCTCTCGCCTGCAGGTGGAGTGCAACTCCAAGCTGGATCCCACCAACACCACCTTCCTGAAGGTAGGCGGGTGGCAGGCACAGCCAGGCGGTCCCTGCGGCCCGTGAAATGCCCCATTGTCCCCTGCCCCAGGGTTGCAGGGTGTTCCCGTCTCCCCGTTTCATTTCCATCCTGGCCATGGGGCTGGGGGTGGGTGGGGAGAGGTGGATGGCCCCAGCAGTGGCATCCTGCCAGCGGGTACTGGGGCACAGGGCGGGCGGCAAAGGCACCCTCCCAAACTAAGCGGGACCTTCTCTCTGCAGATGGCTGACTCCGGTGGGCTGCCCCAGGTTACACAGGTGAGCCCCCACGATTTCCCCACTTCACTGGGCATACTGGGCCCCGAGGCATGCACTGGTGCCGTCCCTGTCTAGCAGGGGATGGGCTGAGGTGGGCAGAGGGGTGTTGTGGGGGGGCTGCTGGAGGTGGCTTGGGGCTGAGCGGGGATCTCGGCTCTGGTGCCCGCTCAGCTCAGCTTGCTCTCTCCCCGCAGCCCGGCAAGCTGACCGAAGCCTTCAAGTACTTCCTGCAAGGCATGGGCTACAGTGAGTGCCGGGGCTGGGCAGGGGGCTGGCGCGTGCCTGCGTGTGCGCGTGCGTGTGTGCCTGCCTGCTGACTCTGCCGCAGGAGAGGAGCCTGGCACCCGGGTGTGCCCATCCGGATGGGGAGCTGCACGTGTGTGCGCCCGTGGCGTTGTATGTGCGGGTGTACGAGATGTCTGTCCGTGCGTTTGTCGGGGCGTGGGGTGTCCAGGCTCTGTGTGCACACAGACGTGTGTGCAAGGGCTCTGTGTGCACATACGTGTGTGGACAGGGGCTCTGTGCACACATGCATGCTTACGTGTGTGTGGGTGTGCAGAAGCAGGGGCTGTGGGTGTGCACAGACGTGCAGAGTCCATGTGCACAAGTCTGTGTGCGTGTGTGTGTGTACAGGTCCGTGAGCACGTATGTGTACATGCGTGTGTGCAGGCCTGTGCGCGTACCTGTGCATGCACGTGTGTGAAGGTCCACGTACACACGTGTGTGTGTTTGTAGGTCCGTATGCACGTGCGCGTGTGTCTGTGTGTGTGCAGGACTGTGCACACTTGTAGGTCCGTGAGCACGCACATGTGAGGCTGGGCTGGGGCTCCTGGCCCCGCGGAGCGGCCAGCATGGCTGACCCTCTCTCTCTGCCCTCCCTGCCCTTCTCCTGCTCCCCCCCTGCCAGTCGCGCTGCTGCATGGTGCCCGCCTGGCCCGTGCCCTCGAGCTGCCCGGGCAGCGCTGGGCGCAGCCTGGGTGGTGGGGCTTGCTGTTTCCAGCCAGGTGCCCTCTGCCTCGCTCTGCTTTGCCTGAGATGGTACCCTGAGCCAGGGCCAGGGTCTGAGACGTGTCATTCGGAGAGGTCCCCCACCCCGTGTGGATGCAGCCTCGGCGGTGTGCCCACCATCCCCCCCCCCAGCCAGCCAGGAGCCGTGCCTGCTGGGCATCCGGGCTGGAGGAGGGTGCCAGCTTCCCTGCACACCCTGCGGAGCTGGGAGAGCTCCCAGCCCTGCTCACCCCTTCCCCCGAGCGTGGTGGCCAGGGTTCCCCACTGCCTCACACCCTGGGAGATGTGCCCGGTGCACAGCCTGCCCCAGGGTGCCCCTTTCCTGCCCCACTGTCCTATGCCAGCCTGGAGCTGCTCGCGTTGTCACAGCACCGCATGCTGCGAGCTTGTGCCCAGGGTCACTAACGTTGGGGACGGGACCGGTGGCTTCGCTTGCGTGAGGCAACATCGGCTCAGGTCCTGCTGGCTTTTGAAGGGAGCTGAGCACCCCGGCTGTCTCTCTGTGCCCATGCAGTGCCATCCGCCAGCATGACCCGCCTGGCACGCTCCCGCACGGCCTCCCTCACCAGCGCCAGCTCGGTGGATGGCACCCGCCCGCGTGCCTGCACCCACTCGGAGAGCAGCGAGGCCATGGGGCAGATCAACCACACCATGGAGGTATCGTGCTGAGGTCCATGCCCGCCACCGACATCTCCTCCAGAGCCATCTCCCATCCGTCAGCATCCCGCCAGCACCCACCCGCCCCGTGGATGTCCTCCATCAGGGCCCTCGCTCCTTCGGGGTCGATTTGTCTTCTTTGCCGTTGGCCTCATCCCTTTGTCTGGTACCGGAGAAGGAGAGGGGTTTCACTTCACTGCCTCCTGGCTCCGGCTCCTGGCTTCACCCGGCAGCCACTCGTGGTTCTGCATTGGTCCTCACCCACCCTAGCATCGGCATGGCCCTGGTTTGGGAGGGCGGCTGGCAGGGGAACAGGGCCAGGATGGGGGAGCAGGGGCGGGGTGGTGAGATGGGGATGGAATGGGGCAGGACAGGAGGCTGTGGGCAGGACAGCAGGACGTGGAGGGAACACAGGAGGTAGGCTGGTCCCCCTAGGTCAACTGGCAGCTGGCCAAGTCAGAAGGAAGACAGGGACAGGGAGCTGCGCTCAGTGGGAGGTCACTGGGCCCTTCCTGGGCAGGCAGCTCCCATTTCTCCCCTCCGGCCCTCCCTGGGGAGAGATAACACGGGATCCCCCAGCACACACAGGACCTGCTGCCCTGGAGCTGGCTAAGCATGGTGGGACATCACACCCCAAACTGTCCCCTCGCCCTGGTCATGTACCCTGAGGGCTGCCCCGGGGCAGGGGGAGAGGGCTCAGCCTTGATCCCAAGCCATCTGAGCAGGAGGGTGGCACGGGGGTCCCCCTGCCTCTGCCCACGCTCTCGCCCATGGTGGCACTTCCTTGGTCCCTTGTTGCAAGAAGGACAATTGCCACTGGACACCAAAAACACACAGGGGAAGGGGGCGG